TTGGTATTTTTAACCTCTTGCCATACCATTTGACCGAGAAAAATCTAAAATTGATCATAATTATGGCGACCGATATCTCGTGTTGTCACCTCCAGTCAGACTCGTGATATTTATGTTTGGTCCAAAATTTTTGTTACCGGGTATACAACACAACATATGTGTATTAAAACTGCGAAAATTATTTTTGTGATTAATATATAATGTAATATGTAACCTAGTATCTTAATTTCTCGTTTCTCGATAAAATTACAATATCCAGGAAAACATAAAGGTCCGATCGTATCGGACACACTCCTAATATTTATCTTTCGGTTTTGCTCGTTTCTGATACTTTTATTATTTTTCTGTATGTTTCTTAGACAGTTTACTGTCACTTCATTTATTATTAATTACCGGCTGATTAGAACCACGCATTGCGTGTTTCAGTGTTCTTCTTTCTATGATATGCGAGATATCAAGGAAATATGTGACCAGACGTTGGTATCGTGTTTTAGTGTAGCGGTTTACTTTCTGTTTGCCACGGGCTTCCTTCAAATAAATTTTCCCTGTTGCAAACCTCCAAGATTTAAGTCAGATAACTTGCATCAAATATGCAGATGTAAGACATAATGTAAGTATAAATAACATACATATGCCTATACATTATCTAAAGAGTATCGACAGTGGATGATGATATACTACAATAGTAGGTAATTCGAGTACTGCACGCGATGACTTCATAGAATTCGTTCAGAAACATCTGAGAGAATGTATAAAAATATCTACGAAAATATATCTTTGTTTGAGTAACTTATGATTTGCGACGGTCACCGAAAATTAGTTCAAACAAATGTGCCAGGTACCCGAAATTTTACTTTATTTTCAGGAGTTTCAAGCTACATTAATCGTTATTGAGTTAGGAGTCAGGTTTTTAGAAACGCCTACATTTGGTAAAATTATATAATATTAAAATAATTTTTAAAATTTCTGTTAACCGTATTATACTTTGCTGTGTTATAATTTTTCGATTTCTGTTTTATCTATGGTAACTTACCTTTAAGTTTCCAAATGTCCTACAAATTCGAAGTTTCGAACATACAGTTACTCATCAAAATATTTGCTTATCCGTATAATACGAAACAAAAGGATACGTAAGATACGTAAAATCTCGTTACGTACGTTGTACGTAAAATTTCAACAAAATATAAATACGAGTTAATGCAAGTGGGACAAAATGTTAAGACAGACTACGAACCATACCTGTATAGTGGTTTAGATAGTTCATTAACATTTCGTGATAGCACTTTTCTTCTGTATGACATCAATTAAAAGATTTGGGATCGATGTATATAATTTGTTAATTTTCTTGCGTGGTAAATTATTCAATTTTTCTACTATTTTCTATTTTAGTTCTTGAATTCTTTGAAACGGTCTTCCTCCTTTGTAAACTTTTCTAAATAAGATCACCCACACCTTTTTTATAATATTTAGGCGATTTTAATGCTCAATTAAAGAATGGAATACTTTTTGAAATAAAATACTCTTATACTCGTTGAGCGGTGTGCACAGATGTCTGAAAAAATCACGCTCTTCGCGTAATGCGAGCGGCATGTTTCTCTAATTACACTAGTCAGCACGATTTTTGTTAAAGAAGGTTTAATGAGTGATCTGAATAGTATTTCTCACGATGAATTCAAATACACCATCCATTTTCTTCATCACCTATAGTTTTTAAGAAAATAAACTTTAAAAGCTCAATTTTTCAATTTTGAACATTTGCTCCGTTTTAATTATGAAAACTTTTCAAACTTTTCGTGTATAATATTATTCTGTGGACTATCCTGAACACAATGACATAAATTTGAATAACATTACAGACATTTAACCCTTTGCGGGCGAAGGTTTTTAGAAAAGTATAAAACCTTCAATAGACGAAGCTAAATTATCTACGAATCGCTTAATTAATAGAACAAAAGGAAACTACGTGCTGATCTCTAACTGTTCGAGTAATTAAATCACTTGTCTGCGACTTAGTCTTCCAAATATGAACATTTCATTTCTCTGGAATGTCGATAATCGTCCGCAAAGAGTTAAATATGTTTAACACTAAAACTACCGAGCACTTCAATTGACTTTTGAAAATTTCGCTATAGAAACTCCAAGAGTGCATCTGTTCAGAATTTAATTAATTTACAATTCAATTTGCGTAGTGCTAAATGAACTTCTTTAATAATTTCTCAGAGAAACATTTGTTACCTTTCTAATAATTGCAAAAAGAAGACATTAGGTATGGGTCATTTGACCCCTCTGGTAGTTTTAGTGTTAGACTTTTGCGGATATTTTTAAATTTATCTAAAAAGTTAAGCGGCTAGGAGAAAATTTAATTTCAGCGTGTGATAGGGCAGACATCAATCTTGCGAAATTCGTTGAAAAAGTTCCATGATATATTTCGTTTTCAATTGAGAGTGAAAAAAATCTGCGAAACATAAGGTACCGACAGTGATGCACAATGTCAACGCATACATATAAACTGGTTAGGTACCGACAGTGATGCACAATGTCAATGCGTGTCTCACCTGATGCGCAGTGCTGCCGCAGCTAGCCAGTTTATAATTTACTCTGGTCTACACCATAATTCTCCGTTCTCCCATTTGTCTACAATTTAATATAATTTCCTCCCTTTTTAAACCATGGAAGTAATAATTCCATCCAAATCTGGACCGTCCAAATTGGACTTTCTTTCGTCGCTAAATATTCTTTCCTCCAATGTGTACGATATTAGACAAACATTTCACTTAATGCTGCGACGTTAAAGGGGATCGGTGTTTTAATTTTAGACGTTCTAAATGCTTACAATCTTTTACACCACGTAATACATTCTTTTTATTAGTCATTGCGGCTGCTGCTTTTGGAATTTCTCTTGCAGTCTTTCTAGAATCGAAGGCTTTCACTAAATTTTCTTGACCGTAATTATCAGGATTTTTTAACAAACACGCACTGCACAACTCCAATCTACTAGTTTCACGATTTTTGAAATAAGGTATGTACTTCTCAGATCAAACTAACAAAATTTTATCGATTTCGCTTCTATTTAGAGCCTTCCCCGACTCATTTTAAAACTACAATTGAAAATGATATATTTCACACGAAAAATTATGCATTCCACATAAAGAAAAAACTTTGGTTTAATACGTAATATACAAAACAAATCTCAAAACTTGGAGCATTTATATATACCTAATAGTATAGAAGTAATGTACGCAATACAACAAAAGTATTAATTAATTAAGACGACGCACAATGGTTGATTTAGCCGTTTTAGACGGCCAAAAGTTAATTTCAAAAATTTCACCTAAGCTGTAAAATTTTTGCTCTCCGAGATAGTTGAATGTGTGAGGAATAAGGTACCAATTGTCTTTTTTTTCATTCGTGCACTTATAAACTCGTGTGTTTTGTTGAAAGTTGGGAGTTTTCGTTGCACACGATTTGCTCTTCTAATTCTTCGAAACATTTTTGTGTGTTTCAAAGAAATTGTGTATACTTTTTTCCAAAATGAAAGTTTCTCAGGTAAACATATACTATATTTTTGATAGTACGTGATTCATTTATTATGTATCTATGTGTTATTATTTATATTTAAGCGTGATTTATAATCAATAATATTTCTTACAATTGCAATACTTCATGAATACTTTTGTTATGCGCTCGAACGTCCGGGTGCGGCCGCATATGCTCGTACAGTTAATATTTATTAATCTGTTACATACTACATAATTGATTGTAATCATGTATTATTACCTGTTGTGCTATTATTATTTATTATATGCTGTGCAATGTAATCCACTCTGGACTAAATATATGATATATATATATATATATATGATATTTTGTCGAAAAAATTCAATATGTAGGTATTTTTAATTTTGACCACCTAAAACGGCTAAATCGGTCCCTCTGCAACGTTGGAATAAGTTATTAAGAATGACAACTATTTTTGTATGGTACTATATGATTCTACCTTACGTGTGCTATCTTTAATTTCTCGGAAACTAAGAAGAGTTTCTGAATATAATAATTAGTACATACATACAATTGTGGCGTAGGAAGCGGAAGCTGTTATCGAACCAGGTCGTTCTGTCTAATATTTAGAGTATGCAAAGGAAACATGTAAATACTAAAGGCAAAATACTGTTGTTATTCGTTAATTATAATAACAAAATACAATTTCTCTTGAAAAAAGTAAAAGTTATTACTCACGTCCAAGGAAAATATAGTAAAATGCTGGAAATAATAAAATACTCTAACAATATCATTGTGAATATAGAATGAGATCTTCCTTTAATCAGTTATTTACTTGTTCTATTAAAAGCCAATTAGAAAATCTTTGTGTAATGAATATCGAAGCAGAAGGTGAGCAGATTGGATGGAGAAATATCAAATACTTAGATACAGGAATTATTTTCAATTCTGTATATATATATAAAATAATGTATTCCGTTATATTCTAATTTAGTATCTAAAACATCAATATAATTTTTCAAAATTATTTTTTTAAAATAATGATATTAACGATCGACAACACATTTCGATAATAGTGAATGACCAAAATGTACATATTATTCTCAAAATGTCATTTAACCCTTGACCTCTGATGAGACAGTCTAGAAAGTTTTTGCTATGTTATGTTCGTTTTTAGTTTGTGAAACTAACAAAACTCATATTCAAACGCGTCAACAGTAAGCAGAGTTGTTACTTATTTAGAAACCGTTGATCGCCAAGTCCATCGAGTTGAATTTTCTAATAATTGAATTGATTTAAAAATAAATTGAATTTCAGGAGGTTCAGTTTAAATATATAAAGGAGATATTTAATTAGGGTAATTTAAGAAGAGTTTAATTTATTTTTAAGTGATTATTAATAGGATCTAATGTATTTTATTAATTTAAATTGGTTATATAGTATTTTAGAAAAAGGTTAATATTTATGATTATAAAATTAAATTAATTGATATATACAATTTTTTATATATTACAGTTTACATAGTCTTTGGTTAGGTCGTTAGATCAAGTCGAAATCATTGAATCATTCGTATAACCAAAGCTTTTAACCTTTTTGCATCCATTAGTCCAACAAAATTCGGTTTTTACGATATGTTATCGAGAAATTTTTGTTTTAAATTTATACAAAAATACTGCATCACTCCAATTCGAGTGACATAACAATTAAAGTGTTACTAAGGGAAAACTGTGGTCTCTATCAGGATGATCTATATATAATACTTAAAATATCGATATGACATTATATACACAAATATGAGAGAAATAATGATTTTCTTTGTTTTATGCAAAAAGTAAATTTCAATTCATTGAAAATGAAACGCTTATTCATTATAGATAATACGATATATTTTTTCAGGTTCTATTGGTATTATTACATACAGTTTTCCTATACGTTTCGTCCAGTTAGGTAACTTACATCGCCTTATATACTCTTCGTTAATATAAAACACGTATATAAACATAGGTTGAGTGTATTGGTGTTTACAATAATGTATGGTAAAAAAAATCGTACACAATTTCGTTCAGTATACGCTTATGCGAAGACATTATTTCTTACAAGTGAGTGAGACACAATTCCCAGTACCGCGTTCTACTACACATACATATATTTCGCGATTTAAAATTATATTTTAATAACTAATAACATTTTGGCGTAAGGAATTGAATTATTATGTACTTTTACAGGTAAAATCACTTAGAGAATTGTAAGAAACTGTGAGTTTTTCTGAAATTCTTTTAACGTAATAAAAGTAGAATACAAGATAGTATTTACAGAATTATTTATTAATAGTATATATCCACGGAAGTAAAGACAAATGTCAGATATATAATATATTGTGATCACAAGTTTCTTACTATATCTCGCAATATGTAAGAGTGCACAAAAGGTGGTCAGTAAGGTATGAAAAAACGAACATTTTACACACATTAGCAATTAGTTGTATTAATCTTTAAAATTTATAGTAGCTAAAATTGAACACGTGTGTAGCAAGTAACAAACGTACTTTTAGCGCGACATTAACTTAGTAAGTCTTTCGTGAAACGGTTGATCTTAATTCCTTAAAACTCGAATGAATGGGTTATTGCCATATCTTGAAAGGTGTACGTTACTCTTAATTGCAGATAATTTCAAATAATTGTAGTGAACAATGAGAATTAATAGAAAATTTTACGATTATACAGAGACAAAAGTTTCACTATAATTCATACAAAAATTGCATCGATATTGAAATGTATCTTAAACATTCAACGTTGAAAAGTTAATTATTGTAGTTATTTAGAGAATGTATAATATAAACTTCCATTCAATTAAAATTAATATAAAATTGGAACAATTGACACACCTTACGATAAACCCTCTTTCAATGCACCATACACGTACACAGGCATTTATGAATGTACTCTTTGATATGAATGTAAAGTAATTGTTGTAATTGTTGTGTTTATATACTTAATATTTCTTACTTGACAAGTTCATGTATCTATTCAGAATAATACATCAAATTAAAGTACATAGGTTTCGTTCGGTAAACTTTAGCTGCTAAACACCGTTGAATTACATAGGAAAATGTTACATAAACTTTACAAAATTTATTTTACACACAATTAATCGCATTCTTTAAGAGTAACCAAAAATGATATATGACTTTGAATGAAATCAGAATATGCAATTAAATTCACGGAGAAAAATTTGAAACAACATCGTGTAATCAGACTTTTCTGTACAGAAAATTGTGCGCACTGATTTATGCAATAATGTTTTGTTTTTGAAGAATCTCGTATCTGAGTAGGCAACGATAGCCTCCATTTACATACAAGTAGGTACATGTATTAGTATATATAGAATATTCAACTACAGATGGTCACCCTTTTAGGACGTGCCAAAATAAAATGAAAATCAAGAGTATTACGAAATTATGATTTCACGTTCCTTTCATATTATTAACAATTCAAAAGTTCTCGCAACTCTAACCACCCGTCAATAGCGATACATGTGAATCGGGTCAGTACCGGAACAAACAATGATGCACTATTCGAAAGACAGACATTGTGTAACACTGTCTGAAATTCACATCCAAATTTTTATGATAATATCGCCCTATCGACCATTCAAGTAAAGAGATTACAGTAGGACCTCCGTTATACGAACTAATTGGGGGGACAAAAGTGTTCAGATAAGAGAATTTTCACGTAAGAAGATGACAACTGGTTAACATTCAATTTGATTTAATATTTGAGATAAAATTAAATAAAATTGATACCATTTGTTTGTAAATATCTTTATACATATATTACAGAAATTTTATTCGATTACAATTGGCTTAAATAATTTTTAACAGCACGTTTTCGGCTTTTCATATTGATGGGGGTGGATTTTGCAGTACCATGTTTTCGTACTAAATTTGTTGCAGATTCCCCACATTCAAGTTCTTTAATTGTTACTTCTTCGTCAATACTACGCGTTTCCGTTTCGGTAACACTACGACATAACGTTGCACATCAATTTTAAGTTGCATAGAAATACTTTTATTACAATATGCACGCATTATAATAGGAAACACGTGGTTCATATAATAGAACGTTTACATAACAAGTGTTCATATAACAGAGGTTCTATTGTAAATACAGTTTTTAGCAAGCAGAAATGCTAAAACTAAAATTGATGACAGCATATTGTTCACGCTTATTTTCGCCCTTAAAAATGACTACACGCACGCATGCACGCGTACCACAAATATCAATATATTTTACATATTGTAGTTATTCTACCGTATACGACCACAGCATCACATACACATGAGCCACGATTGTCCTATTGACAAATGTCAACGCGTATTGCAGACACCACGATTATCTCGTTTCTGAAATTATATAAGTTAAGAACAAACGAAACTATTGCTTAATTTTTATGTATTTCTAAATGAAAGGAACGTAAATGCATAAGCGTTTTTAGACGAATGAAATTTACACGATTCGTAGTATTTTATATCTTCAAATGAAGCTCGCTATTGTATTTTAGGGAGTAATAAAATAAACTTTAATAAAGTACCCCTTGCTAGAAAAATTCAGTTTATATCTTATGACACCCCGAAGTTCAACCGCGATTTATTTTGTTATCATTATCTCATTGCTGGTCTCCAATCAATTTTCTTTTAATCGGCGTCTTCCGAGTTTGGTAACTATTGTTAATGGACTATAATCGAAACATTTTTTTTCAGAAAGAAAATAGTTTTTGTCAATATTTTTTAAAAATATTTTTTCTCCAATACACTTTTCATGAAAAATAATCTATACTTTTTAATGCGAATACGTAGTACATGGAGCGTTCTGTGTAAAGAAACAATAGTCAAAAAATACTTCATACTCTTCGTTCGGATAATCGTAGTCTGTTATAAATGTTGATATTTGGCAAGTGTATGAACAGATTTAATATTATGCGACAATTTGTATGTGAGAGCTTTTAAAAAATTACATATGTGAGCCTTGGTGACAAATCTGCGATGAACATTAGTCTCGCGCATCTGTTGGCAGATTTTTAATTGTTAACCATTTAAAACAGATGCCTTACGCAAGTTCGTCACACTTCATTTTCGTGTTATTTTGGCACATAGAGTCACTATCTAAAAAGATGATCGCTTATAGTTAAACACCCTGTATAGAATAATACGCACACAACACGCATTCGCACATACACGTGAGTACACATACAATCTTCAATTTCTTATTGAACCATTTCGAGAATTTCCCGTGCAAACGGTTTGTAAGTCAGCGAGTGAAAGAGATTGAAAGAGAGGGGAGAGGGAAAGAAGGAGGACGAGGAGAAGGTGGAGGAAAGAAGAGTGAGCTCACGTATACAAAGTGTTTCATACTATTTAAGATCTAATTCAGCAGTGAACAAAGAACACTAAAACGATGAAAAAAGTTCATATAAACATTGACCTTATTTGATTTTGTTCCTAAGTTATAGGCACTTTTATATTCTAATATTTCTTCACACTTAGCCAACCGAATGGGAAGATCTTCCACTTTTCCCTTAGCAACACATTGCCATTTATTTTGTTTATTTTTT